GGGCGGGGCTGTGCGTGCGCCCTCCCCCAACCCACGGCTCAATTCAACTGTCTGCCCGGGGCGCCGGAATGGCTCAGTCCAGCCCTGGGTGCAGATTCATGTTTGTCAGAGGGGGGTGCTGAGAGATTCCAGTCCAGGCGAGGGGAACCGTGGTGCGGGGCTCTCGGGGGTTCCAAAGAGGAGGAGCAGTTGTGGTGTTACGCAATTACAGGGGTCCCAAGGCAGCGAAAGGCCCCCTGAAAGCTAGATCTGACCTGTGTGTGGGGGGGTATCAGCTGCTCTGTTATCCACAGTGCCGGCCGGGGCTAAGAACGGGGTCCTCAGCTCAGCGTGATCTCACCCACGCTGTACACGCGTGATCACTGGTGGCAATGCAGGAACCCACCATGGGACAGACCATGCTACTGAGGGCGAACATAAGAACGGCCAGACTGGGTCAGACCAAAGGTCCATCCAGCCCAGTAGCCTGTCTGCCGACAGTGGCCAACACCAGGTGCCCTGCAGGAGGGGGACAGAAGACAATGATCAAGCGATTTGTCTCGTGCCATCCGTCTCCAGCTTCTGACAAACAGAGGCCAGGGACACCATTCCTACCCCCTGGCTAATAGCCCTTTATGGACCTAACCTCCATGAATTTATCTAGCTTCTCTTTAAACTCTGTTATAGTTCTAGCCTTCACAGCCTCCTCCGGCAAGGAGTTCCACAGGTGAGACAATTCCTGCCCTGCTGAGCTTACTGCCTGAAAACCCCTTCCTGCAAAGACAACCCAAGAGTAGAGCCCCACCCCTGCCCAGAGCCCAACTGAGCCTGTCCATGGCTCTCAGTGGTATCGCCAACACAGCAAAGAAAACTCCCCCCGAGAGAGGCTCAGGTAGGCAGGTCTCCTGTGTGCTCCATTGGTAAAACTCACTTGGAGGCTTTAGCGTAATATCAGCCCCCTACGCAGAGAGCTGAGTTTGGAAGGTGGTTGAAATGCACATTCTCTCCCTGCTAAATAACAATTGCATCTTTGCTTGTATCGAGCTGGAGCGTCTTTGTGTACACACCAGCATCCTCCCCGGGCCTCTGCCCCGCTTGGGAATTGCAGGTGTTAGTTAATTGCTACCGCCAAGCCCTCTGGGGGGAGCAAAACAAAACCCCCCGGCTGGCAGGCAGTGCTTTTCCCATGTTTTCTGTGCTGGAAGGAGTCCTTTTGCTCGGGGTTAGTGGATACAGGCCGGGGGCTTTCCCTGTTGGCCTCAGCTGTTTGTGCTCAGGAGTTTTAATTCTGCATTTCTGGGGGTGCCGCTGTGCTAGGCGCAGTGTATGCACTGTAGCAGACAGTCCCTCTGCCAGAGCCTAGGGCCATCACCCGGCAAAGAGAACCGTGCCCGCAACCCCCTGCTCCTGGATGGAACTCCACAGAAAGTAAAGGAGAGACGGGCTGTCTATGTCCTTCCCTGGTAGGCCTAAATAGAGGAAACAGAGAAAAAGAAGCACAACGGTTATCAGAGGCCCAGGAAGGTTAAGTGAGTCACCCAAGGTTATGTGGGGAATCTGTGTCAGAGCTGAGACGTGATTCCCAGCCCTTTGCCTTACCCACCAGTCCATTCTCCTGCAAGCTAAGACGCTAAGATTTATGCCTCTTTACCGTTTACTCGGCATCGCCGCAGCCGGTGCTTTTAGCATTTAAACGTTCACATGGAGTTTTGCTGAGGGATTCTCAGACCAGATTTAAAATAAGCAGGATGAGAGAGAAAACTTTAACTCCCCCATAATCTTACCATTGGGTGTCCCAGCAAGATAAAAAAAACAACCCAGGCCAGACCCAGGGTGTTAGACTCAAAGGCTCGTGTTCCTCATGTTAGATCTGCAGGGGCTACTGTGTCCTGTCCGCCTGAACCCAACAGGCCCAGCCGATAGGGAAGGAAAACCTTGCCCTAGCTGTCGCTGTGTGGGCAGTGGGCGCTTGCCCGCTGTGGGACTGGTGAATGCCGACGGACGCTGTGTGCGCCTCTCCTCTGCAGCCAGGAGTGTGTCGCTGGGAGGTGGAGGCGGGGGTGGTGTTACATGCCAACCCCGGGTACATCTCACTAATCCCTTGGCCGGTTGCCTGTCTCTGCTGCAGCTGAGCCTCTCCGGCAGGGCTGGAAAAGGTTACGGGCGGAGCTGGTCAGAGTCCAGAAAGATTTGGAGGGAGTCTGGAGATGGCTGGGAGCTGTCCGAGCCTGGGCTCCAATCGGCCTGCGTGCATCCCCACTGCCTCTCCGAACTCACTCACAGATCCTCTT